CCATATGTTTGAATTATTACCTTGAATTTATGATGTTTCAGTTACAATATGAAAGATTTAATCTATAATGGTATAATATTATATTATAATACAGGTAAAATAATCCAAAAATAATATTTTTGTTTATTTTTTACAGATTAAAATAATTCAAAAAAGAAATAAATTCAATAAATGCATGCTAAAAATTAAAAGTTTTCCATTGATCTTTTTCATAAATTTGAGTTTAAACCATATAAAAATTGAAGGATTTTTAAACTTTTCATTAATATTATCTAAAATAAAACACAAGCCTGAAATTTCAAAAGTTACTGAATTCATATAAGAAAACATTTGCACGAAAATAATTGTAGGTTAAGTTATATCATATAACAAACACAATTCATATCATGTATCAATCTCTTCAGTTTTTAACTACAAAACTTGTTAACATTTCCAACGATCTGATTATTAATATGTATGAATAAATCATTAGACATGTCGTGTATCATCAAATTCGAGATTCATCATTTATCATTCTATAACATGTTTGACCAATTTATTATATATATGTCAAATATGTATTTGCAAAAATAAAAATAAAAAAAAATCATTATATGATGAACATTTCAAGTAATTTTTTTGTGCCTCACTGTCTGAAATGCAAAATGATGTGCATGATTTATCATAAATCACGTCATAACAACATTAACAATATGAAATGTCAATTCATTTAATCAAGTTCAGATTCAAACTTGATTAAAGTCATGTGTCAGTTATTTGTTCGACTAACAGTATCACGCTATGTGATAGAGGAAAATAGTTGGAATATTATTTAAAATAAGTGTTATGAACGATATAAAATCTATAAACTACATAATACAAGATAATTACACTGATAACTTTTTTTTCATATATTGCCGAGTTTTCAAATGTTTATGAAAGAAGTATGCCGTTTGCACTCACATTCTAACATAAAATTTACATTCATAGATCTACATTCATTTTTTAAAATTATATTTATATCCTTAAGTAATATATGGGAAAGATATAATTTAATTTAAAAATATTATGGAAATGAAGAAAAATAATGTTTATATATTTTTAAAATGAGTTATGTGATGTTGATATAAACACATGATTTGAAATTATATTATTTTGAGATATATTAATTTTTTATTGATAAGTGTTATTTTAAAGATTAAAAAATAAAAAATAAACATTATAATATAAGAATATATATTATATATAATTTGATATATCTGAATAAAAAAATGGTAGTTTACTGCAATTCATTTTGGATAGATATTTCAATTTTGCATGTATTAATTTCAAAGCCAAATAGTCAAATGCTATTTGTGATAAAAACTTTAAAACATAAAATTATATCAATTCAACGTCAACAAAAAACTGTAACTTAAATAATTTGAAAATTTATATATTTGTTCAAAATCTAAGAGATACATTTTTGGGAGGTTTGTACATAATATTAAAAAAAAATTATTCAAAAAATCTATTCATTGTTTAAAACCAAGAGACAAGAGTATGGATATTGTTAGGGGAAGGAAGTCAGGGACAATCTTGTGGTACAAGGAATGATTACATCCACTAAAAGTGAAAGGTAAAATCTGATGTAGTTTTCAATCCATCAAAATATATGGTATATTTTTTGGTCCTAAGCTTACTTGCAAGAGATTTAATCAGGAATCTATTTGCAATCACAAAACCAGTGGATAATAAAAGGGCCCAGAGCGGTCAACTGGCAAAGTGTGTTAAAGGTTTCGTCTTCTGTATCTGTCATCGACCCAACTCTCCATAAGGAATCAACAGAAATGTACACTCGTCTCCATTCGCACATTTGCCAAGTCTTTGGTATCAGGATGTAAGCAAAAACAACAACGAAGCGCCCATCAAAGGCCGGATATTGGATATCAGAAAATGGAAGATTATATCTCAGCTATGTGGATAAGATGATAATGAAAATCTGAATATTCATTTGAAGAATAAGTTTCTCATCTCAACTGGATACTAGGTTTTGATTGAGCCCCCTTCGATAAGAGTTTCCCTCCGCTGCTAAAATAGGCAATATCTCCGAAAACCAATATTCACCCTCCTGAATTTGAGACAGTGCAGTGAGACAAACACTGTGACAGTAAACTGTGTTATGTGGAGAGAATGGACCAGGAGCTTCCCGTCGACTTCGTCTTGCTCTTGTCGTTGTGCATCGTGTGTCGTTTCTAAGACACGAGCATACAACAGTGGCAACAATTGCTTTGCTAGCACACCCAAGGATTAGTAGAAGGGACGATTCCTTTGGCTGTGGATGCAGTTCAAGAGAGCAGTACTGTACTGTTGTTGGGTGAGAGAAGTCATCGGTCAAGTTGAAATCATCATTGGCCCTACGACAATAGCCGCCATATCCACGAGAGTATGACGAGGTAGATATGGAGTGACTGGGTAGAAACTGAATCCGACTGAAGCGAGTTAAGGAATGGGTAGAACAAGCTAGAACTGCTGCCATGGCCGGGTTGGACAGAAACTACCCATCTGAAGACCACTCTCTGGAGTTCAGATCCATATCTGATACTTTAAAACATTCGCGAAGCCCCACCTGACGAACACAATCCATGAGCTATAAGAATTGCTTTCGCATCAAGGTACATGTGTGCTGTGATCGGTTGGCCCTGAAGATATCCCTGCACTGTTGGTGGACGAAAAGGTGTGCATGACTTATCAGCAGGAGAATCAACTTCTTGTGAAGCCGGTCCTGTGTGACTCACGCCTGTCCCTCCTTCGACTGCAGTAGGAGCGAAATTCTACTGTGCCTCGTCACCCTCTGGAAGAAACCATGCCCTCGAGCCCTCTACAAGACCTGACTCACAGTCTGATAGAGCGCTATGCAATCACTGGCGAACTTTCTACAACTCAGCACAGCTGGTTTACCTTCACAGGGGTTGACTGTATGTGAAGACAACATCCCTGCAGAGGTCACTGTCCAGAGGCATCACGCTGGTTGATTCGAGCAGCTCATGTCAACAGCAGCCTGGTTATCGTGTAGTAACGGAACACGTTACGGAAGACATCCATTTGACGCTTCAAACAGCTGAATGTCAACATCATCCCCCAGCAGTAAGCTGATCAGACCCTTTGCTGATCGACGGACAGCTCATAAGAAGGGAATCGTTTTTACACAAAGAGGTCCTTACTCAACTATATTCTTACTACTGTGTTCATGATTGACAGATCTTAACTTGAGCCAACAAACGCGTAGAGCAGACGTATAGCGCGCGTATCGTGACAGTGAGCTACCATCGGCGTCCCAGTGACACTGACTTGATGGGAAGTCTTTAGCAACAGGGATTTGTTGGCATCTTGAAATAGCACTCGATTTGTATTCAGTTGTTCCACCATTTCAGCGGAATACGACAGTTCAATTGTCACTCAAGATAAAATCACCCGATAAATACGATAGCTCCGGAAAAATAGGTGATATCTTGCAATACTCTTGTTCATTTGGCAAAGCTAGCGGTTTAAGATTCTACCATACTAATGATACATGTCCACGAGAACATGAGTCAGTCCACCTAGGCCCCAAATAGCTACTTGCTGATCATCAGAGATGACAAATCGATTCTTCGAGAAGTTTGACACATGTTCACACTACTTTGAACTTCCTACCCAATGAGATCCTTCACAACAGCAAAGGCATAACTTTTTCAAAAGTTTTTCTTTCCCACCCGCTTCTTAATGCCTTTTGGACCTCAAGAACTACAATTCTTTGACACTTCAGAGGCAGTAATGGTGTGCGCGATGACTCTCGAAACTACGATCAGCATATATTTCGTTAACCCCTGGCACAGCGCTGCCTTCTTTGCCACACAGGGGGAGTGAGGTTCAATACTTTAAAAGTCGGTGGAGACTCCAAACTAGATCTAGTTTGATCCCATTTTGACCAGAAGTTTTAGACTGATGGTGGTAGGATATTTCCAAGTTTGAGAGTTGTTTGCAAAATAAACATGTTTAGTGTTATATTCATTGTTTCGAACACCCAACATGGCGGGGATGAGTGAATTCATAAAGCATAAGAGAGGTTCGAAAATTCGATAACTCCACCGAGCACGAAGTGAAAAATCCTAAGATTTAAGGAATTACTCCACAAACTAAACGGATAAATTTCAGTGAGAACGTGCTACAATCCAAGTAACTGCACAGCAGAAGATATGAATGCTTCTTATGTATACTTCTATATGATGGATTCATGGCAGGCGGAGGAAATACCTTCTTCCAGAAATTCTACTCTTCTCCCACAAGACCACGGCTATGGATCACATCCAGAAGACTCCAAAGACACGAAGAAGCATCTCAGACTACAGTCCTCGTCTCTGACAGGTACTAGATACTTGTACTCCAGGACTCTACAGCCTACTATAGTGAAAGAATGTATTGTGAGCGGAAATCTAACAACAACGGTCCCCGATAGACTAATACACCTTTTGAAATCCCGAACGAAGACAAAGCTAATTTAAGTCGATGAGAAGCACGAAGTCACCCTGAACGAATTGAGACTGACAGTATGTTCAATCTGTCCTTTACTCCTAAACTTTCATGAATACAAAGACACAACAGCTTTTTCGTAACTATGAACCTGCTGGATCCAAACCCTTCAGCTGACTCCGAAGCTGTCTAGGACGAGGAAGCAACTTCACCAGAATCAAGTACCATCATATTCCTGGTTCCTTATCAGATATTGCTGTCACCACAACAGCAAGCAGACGACCTGAGTTCGACATGAAATGCTTCTAGCTTGACGTGAAAATTCAGACAAAAAACATTCAACGACGCCTTCAACAACTACAGTAACATACTGGAAATAAGTCACTACACATACTATGCTTGAAGCATGTGATTGCTGACAGTGAAATTGCTAATAGTCGATATGATCAATCTCAACAATTACAAACAGTGGTCACCAGATTTATATCACAAACTCATGGACAAGATCCACCTGATTTCACGAAGTGAACCGGGAAATAAAAAGTTTGAACTTTTGTTGAGGTAAAACTACCACGGCGGACTTCAAAGTGCAAATGCTACTTCGCAGCCTGCTCTGAATGATGACACTCTCACCTCAATCCTGTACTGGGCTGCCCAGGATCCCAATCCTAACCTATGAAAGGAGCAGGAGAATAAAGGGGGGCACAGGCTCTAACGCTGGGAACGTAAGGGAATGTCGAGCCCCCTCGTTTAGTAAGAGAGATTGATACAGTCGTGCTTACCAATTAGGAAGAAATATGTTCAGCATACCATTCACTGGATGCACATGTTTACCAAGTGTCCCTTGAAAATTTGGGAACAGTGTGTTGCTATACGACAAAGCAAGACCCTGGGAGGACCGCATCCCTCGGTTGATAGCCTACCGACTGTCTGATGACAAAAGTGCTACGACAAAGATCCAAGCTAGTTCATTGTCAAGCTAAGGGCGAAAACATCCTCGCAAGAGCTCTGCCTCCAGGGGGGGGTTACCTACGTAATCCCTCAGCTGGCAAAACCTCCATCGCTTGAATAACATTATGTGATTGCTTAGTTGTTGCCTACTCAGAACCCACGTTACCTTGACGACCTGTATATAACAAACCTGACGTCCATCTACAGTTTGGAGACCATCCCGGTGAAAATTGGACAACTGAACCTACTGTGCGAGAAATTAAATTCAGAATGGACGCCTCGAAATTCAGGTCACCTTTAAGAAGAAGCTCCCGCTTTCTTGCCAAATATCATTTCATCTAAATCTTCCATTGCTTTATCGTCTCCTTGGGTAGAAAGAGGAGTGTGCTGCATCCTCTGCCCATAATTCCGTACAAGAGCATCCTCTCCTCCTCCCGTGAGTAGATCGTCCTCCTCGTGCGCTGGTACACTTGTGAAGGCAGGGGCAGATGGCCTATTTACTCGAGTGGAAGGTGGTGCGGAGGTGGCCACGGGCGCAGCAGCAGTCGTGTTGGTGGCTGCGGGCGCAGACGACTCGTCGTATTTATCCAGCACTTTTTGCAGCTCATCGTTCAAATTCAGCGCTTCAAAAAGAGTGGGATCGTCATCTCCAGCTCTCTGAATTATTCTCTGCAGATTGAACTGCGATTGTCTGCACTGCTCCACCAAAGTCGTCGTTATATCATCTTTGAGTGCCTCTTGATGCGGAGACGAACTTAAAACAGTGGCCAGGAGTTCTGTGCTATTTCGAGCAACATCAAAGGTCTCTTTAACGTTGGAAGGATCGGAAGGGTCCGTGTTGGGTGCTGCAAACTCTTCGCTCCAGAAAGGGGGGGCTGTGTTGGGGCTGCTCGTTCCGCGGTTGGAGCCGATTGGAGGTGAAGGTGCGATTGACGGAGGAGTGAAGATTGGCGCCAAACTTTCGTTGTCCCTGCCTGGAAACTTCACGCCTCTACTCCGCAGACTCTTGTACGTCTCTTCGAAGACTGGTAAATAACGGAGCTCTTCCGTGGACTCCCCCCAGGCTTCAATGAGCTTCAGAGCCTTCTCGCGACTCTCGATGGACGATTGGCGATCGTCAATTAACTTGACCATCTCATCCAAGACTTTCTCGGATGCGACCTCGGAGAACATCTTGTCACAATTCTTCACGCAGGTTTCGAGTAGAGTTAGAGCGAGGATCTGGACAGTAGGGTGCTTGATCATGATGCGCTTCTTGATTGCTCGAACCGCATCTTGTCCGCTAATCTTTTCGTGGTTCACCTGATCACAAAGGTCCAAGTTTCTGCTCCAGTCAGGGCCATCCATAATTTCTGAAGTTGCCTCTTCAACAATCTTGTCCGCAGGGGTCGGCACCAAAAAAAGCTCCTTCATCTTGCCGCTAATGCTGTTCATCCTCTCGGAGACCTTGCGAGACATATCAGATCCCCCGACTTTCAATTTCTCGCCCAGAGCCGAGAACTTGTCCTTCAAATTGTCCGACATCGTCACCCACCCAAAACACGACCAATTTCCTCCCTTCGTTCTCACACGCACTCTCTCTCTCTCCCTCTCGATGCGCAGGCAATTAACAACCACGCCTCCAGGCAGCTACCGAAGCCCTGCAGCAGCGGCCAGGTGTGACACTTTCAAAGCCTAGCCCTCCTCCTGGCACAAACCCAATCGACCATGAAATTCGATCTCCCTCGTTTCCCTCCCAATTACCCTGCCCCTCCCCTCCCCTCCAAATGCACGTCCCACCCAGTCCAAGCTCTCTCCCACCAAACCCACCGTCTCAGCCCAAGCCAAGCTCTCTGCGCGACAAGCAAGCCACCCCACCTCTACTCACACACATACTCAAACTCACGATCCGCCCTCCTCCCCTCCTTAGGGCAGTAGTCTATCTCCCCCTCGCTTCAGCTCTCGCTCTCGCTCCCACCAACTCACTGCGCCACAATCTCTTCCTCCGCACTTCTCTCCTTCAGCAGGCGGCAAGCTCAACCTTCTTCTCCTCCTCCTTCTTCATCATCACCACCACCACCACCATCCTACGCACGCACGGTCGCTGACTGCACTCTGTCTCTCTCTCTCTCTCTCGTCACTCTCTCCAGTTCTTTCCTTCCTTCTTCCCTCCCTTTCCAGTCGCACAAGCCAAAAGCCGGAGGCCCAGGCGTTCCTATCAAGCGTCTTCTTCCTCGCTCGCTCGCTCGGTGTCTGCAGTTGACCTCCAATTCGCTTGCTTGCCAGGCCGTGGGCTGCCCTGCCCTTCTTCTGGCCGGACTGTGGTGCGTCGGGTTCTTCTTGGGGAGGGAGGAAAACCGCAACATTTGCTCTGGGGCTCTAGCTTTCACCAGACAATGGGATCTTCGATTAGATTCGATACCCTGGGGCTCGGTTCCGTTCCGCGGCTGGACCGAGTGGCCAGACCACGGTCGACCGAGCGAAACTTGGCCACCAAGCAATTTGCGCATTTGCGCGCTTAATTTAGACCGGATCGCCTTCGCTTTCCGCTTTTATTGTGATCGGCTGTTGAATGGGTCCATGTTCTAGGGCGGAATATCGTGACATTCTTTTTTCCCCGAGCGAAATCCCCTTTGACCCATCCCTGGTCACCTCACCTCCTTCTCGAGTCTGTTTACCTCCTTCCTCCTTCTCTGCTGCGCGCTCTAGCGACTTACGGTGCACTGACTGACCGACTGCTTCAGGAGGCCGCGTATTTCGTGTCACACTTCACGCGTCTCCTTGTCAGAAAGCTTGGTTAGGGTTTTTAGATCCAGATTTTCTAGATTTGGGCTTTCAGGCGTCGCCCTCAGCGGATTTGTATATGATTTGCACGATTCTGTGGCCGAGGTATTAGATTTGGATGGAAATGCAACTCTACTGAAGATTGTGTGACAGCGATGTGAGACTTGGATAGAGATACTGTATTATTCACCGCCGATACATGAACACTAATTTGGAAATAAATCACTGCATTTTACCACGCGGGGTTTGTCTCATCTGCTACCAATGTGCACGAAGGTAGAGCTCGATTTGTTCATAAGTGAGCAATTTCCATAAATTTCTAACCAAATTCCACGAAAATCATTAAGTTTTGAGTATTTTTTCACTGTGGACATTGCAATTCGAATAGCGGTTCCAATACCTTAACCCTAAGCCTTTGTATGGACAAATCAATTGTCAACCACCACACACTGAAACACGAAAATGTACAAAATCATCAACTATGAATAAAAAAATGACGCTCTCCTCACAAGCCTTGGTCCATGCGAATTCCACAAAGAAATTCTCCTGGTGACCCAAGCAGCATGACAACTCGTGTACATTTACGCTATATTTCCATGAGTATTCACTCTAGTCAAAGGTGTCACTGTGTTGACGTCCGAATTTCTTAAGGATTTATTCTATGAATAAATCTTAATGCAATCGGACGTCAACACAGTGACACCTTTGACTGATTCAATGTGATTGTGGCTCATCCTGATGGTCTAGTTGTGAAGGAAGAAGATCCCAAACTACAAATTCTTCTTCTATTGATAATCCGAATCCTACACTCACACGGATCTACTCCCACTATCATTCTGCAGATCGGCGCCACCAGGAGATGCACACTTGCTGCAATCAGAATCGTGTTGATTTGGGGCTGCATCTCCAGTACATGGGTGAAAATCTACTCACAATGTGACTTCATTGACTTGCAGGATTCTGGGCCGTAACTCTTTGTATTTTTCTCGCCGTATCCGAGCGATACTCCATCGCTGGTACCAAACGTCTCTACACAAATTGAGCAAGAATAGTTGTTGGCCATCCCTTGCAAACTTGATACAATTGCTACTTCATTAATCATAACTCTTCTTGCATATGCCAGATATTAGATCTGCAAATTAGAGCTACACGTCACGAGTTGAAATTCAATGTTTTAGAACTCCATATCCAACGTTGCTTTTGTTTGGATCATGAGATCAACATTGATTGTGAGTTTTTATACTACAGAAGCTTGCTCTGTTTTGACGAATGTGATCACATGCATTGTTTGAATTAAATCTATAAATGACCAGTCAACATAAATAACTATCATGAAGATGTATACATGTATTTCAACGCGAAACGTGTGCAGCTTTAATTCGATTAACCTCCATCATAATTCAACTTTTGGCTAGTTGCATCACCGAATTTAAAAGATTTGTTTCGTTCATCTTTGAGCTAGATTATGCCTCTTTGTTTTAGCAGTTTTTGCCAAAATTCCTAGATCTATATTTTTGTTGTACGACATTAAGAAATTTTTGTCTACATGAGATATCAATATCTCACACGATTACTACGAAAAAAGTATAACTTGCATTATCCTTTATTATGTTGATGTGAAGATGTGACTTAAGATCAAAGATAATTAGAACTCGGTGGCAGCAAAAAGTATCATTTTAGAGAAATCGAGATGATGACAAACTTTCGTGAGGTTATATTATATAATTAAAGCATATCATATCTAGAGCATCATGCTCTACATTTACCATTGGCTAATTCACTATTCTATAGTATTATGTACTTGCATTTGATTATGATTATGAATATGATGTAAAAAGAATATTATCAATAATCTTCACTTAATTTTACTGGATTTACTTTAAATAAAAAAACCATTTTTCTCATTCTTAAACCAAATTAATTATACTATTTAATTGAATCTTATATTTTAATGAATCATTTTTATCCATATTTTATAAAAAAATTATGTAAAAAATACTTAAATAGAAAAGGTATGAAATGAAGTCTCGCATGGCTTTTTTTCCTGTAATATTATGAAATCATTTTTCATATTTCATAATAATCTTGATCATATTTCATACAATATCTAAAGAAATGTAAGTGCATGTTTTAAGCTCTAAATTAAATATATAATCTGTTAAGAAAATAAATCTCATTTTATTAAAATTGTCAAAAAATTTGAAAATAGCTTTCACATTTTATTTTATTTTACATCTGAATAGTTTATCCGATATGTGCACAATCATAATGAATATAAATAGTTGTTTAAAACTATGATTTACTTTTATCATAAAATTAATGTTATATTGCAATTTACTTAAACTCTTCATACCAATACTAATCTTCTAACATATAACTAAAAACATAGTAATTTTTCTTAGAAAATTGAAAACTTAAAATTAGAAAATTTTCAAATCATTCACTTTTTCACTAGATCAGATCAACAAATTTATAATTGATATTGATTTATATTTATATTTCGGTCCAAATTTTAAATTTTTTTGAAAAAATTGCTGAAAATATATTAATTTCAAATATTGCTCAAATTCATTGTTTGTCCAATTTTCATTCTATGATTGATATAATTTTTAACATTTTGTGAATATTTAATATTTTTAGAATATTTTTTAAATTTATTGAGTGTGGTGATTTTAGTGTATATACACCCAACACACACCCACGCAGTTTTAGTGATATACACCCAAGAAATACCACGCTATACACTTCGCAGTTACTTGGGTGTATAGCGTGGCATTTCTTGGGTGTGTGCGGTTTAAACTGCGTAAGTGTATATACACTAAAATCAATATCAGCAAATTTATTAAAGAACTACAAAACATATTAATTTTTACATAAATAATGTTTAATAATTTTAAAAAAGAATTATAATTATCAAAATTTTTATCTACATATCAAAAGAATTAAAAAAAATATAGTACTTAAAAAAATATAAAGCACACAATTTTTTTCATCAAAATTAGAAAAAAAATGAAAAGTAACAAATATTATTGGATTTTATAATTCATCAGGTAATTATAAAGTGTTGAATATTAACATATTATTCTATTAAATTTTTTTAAATATGTACATTTCTATTATTTTTTATTTTTCATGTCAAATTTATATCAACTTGAAATTATCTAATTCCGAAACATCATATTTGAACTATAATTTTTTTTTCTAATAAAAAGAACTACTAAAATATTTATCATTAAAATGTAATTATCTTTTGAAAATTAGCCAAATTGTTTGCATGCATAATTGTATCAATACATATGTTATTAAAAACAACTCTATTGAAATAACATAATTTAGAATTTTTTTTGTTTTCAAGTGTTCTTTTGACATGTAGTTATTTATAATATTTTGAAAATATAAAATCATAATTTGAAATTTGTTAAAGATTATAAGTTGAACATTGTGAAAATTTAACATTATATAGTTTTTAAGATATTTAAAATATCATCTTAACATTAGAATCATGAAAATTTAATAAATTGTCTAATTAGATTAATCACATGTTGTCATACATGTTTTTTTAAGTATGAGTAATTTCTATAAAATCTACTTTCAATGAAACTAAGTTTCCTAATTATTTTCATTGATCATCATGAAATATGATAATTGGTACTGATTATCAATTCTTTGAAATTAATAATATTAAATTAAATTTGTGTGTTTTTAAACAACTTATCTTAAACTTTCTATTTTTCAAAACCAACTAGTTATGTCATGTAATCTTTTAACTTCAAAAATTTATAGAAAATTGATGTAACTACATCCATTTGATACATTATCAAATTAAATATCACATCAATTGCATGTATAAGTCAAATTGTTACATACTTTGATATAGTTGAGATTTTTTTATTATAGCATGCATATTTTTTTTTGAATTAAAATTCATCATTCAAAATTTTAAGTTTTCTTATATTTGCAATATTTTCTTTATTATGTTTACTTAGTTGATATAAATTTATTGGAAGTTATGCAAACTTCAAAGTATTATTAATTATAAAAAATTGCATCTCATGCTCCATAATAATATATCACTCAAATTTATTAATAAAGTCTTGAACTATTTTATAATAAAAGCTTTTGTTATTGCAATATCAACGCAATGCAATCATCATCCTTAATATCAGTATCATGAATTCCAAAATGAATGAATCAACGCATAATTATATTTCATTATAACTCTATTTATCAAATTTGATGATCATTTAGTAAATCTTCTTGATTGATTTTTATGATTTGGTGTTGTGTTTTTAATCTCATCAGCACTCAGTTGTTACTTCAATTTTTGATTTTAGTTAAATTGCTTATTATATATTAAATTTCCTCTAGTGTCATATTATTAATTACATAGTGATAAGTCTTTCATTCAACAACATTCATGAGTGAAGATTTTTTATTGTTAAGATGGAAGATTTAAAAATATATTTTTTTCAATGATTTTGTTACATCAAAACACACATAATTACTTACAATAATATTATGAAATTTTATATTCTAACAGTTATAAACTCTAATACCACACACACATTTTAAAAA